AACCAAGCCTGAACATACAGGATAGTCATCAAGTCTACTAGTATATTCTAAATGCCTTAATAGAGTATTTGAGCATCAGCACAATCTATATTTCCTATCTCCCAGTCATTCTCTTGCACTTCTCCACTTTCCAAAATTTGTTCCATTGTTTCTCCCTGATTAAACTATATTCAGGCACCTCCCAACCTTTTCTCTTAACTTAATCCTTTTGTGGAAATCTAGCATAAAGCAAAATTATATGCAGAAACTGAGTTATCAAGTCTAAAATCCTGTGTGAGCCCAGTATTTTAGAATCAGAAGTCTTGGAAATTAATTGTAAAAAAAAAAAAATGATAAAGTTGTAAGTCTCCTAAGAAGAAATCAGGTAAAAAACATCTCCATAATTTTAGTCAACTTCTTGATTGCTTTTAGAGAAGTTGCTGATTTAAAGTTATTTACATATAATCTTGTTTAAACTACATTCTCACCAGAGGACAAAGTCATGAGGAAATGGCAAATGGTGCCTGAATATAGACAATCAGGGAGGAAAAAAAAAAAAGTAAAACAACTTTTGAATTGGTGAGAAGTAGGAGAGAATGACGAGGAGAAAAGAAATGCAGCTTGTGGTGATGCTTGAATACTGGGTGAAGGCATTTAGAATGAGCCTGAGAGCTTGTGGCTTTCAGTCTCTGTTCAGGAACTGGGCTGCTGTGGGCATGTCTCAGAAACCACTTTGAGGGAAGAGGATGAGAGGAATTCACTGTGTTTATCAGGGTGGTTTTATTCTTATCTACTTATATATGGGGGTTACTGAAACATGCAGTTAATTTAGAGATAGAGATGAAAAAATCTTAACTCCTCCTCTCTCCCAACTGTATTTAAATGGATCCAAACACAAACCAGAAAAGCACATTCAGAAGACGTATCCCTCAATTTATTCCAAGTAAGCATCAAAATATATTTTGATTTACTACTTGATTTGGTTTTACATAAGAAACTATTTTATCATTTTATTTTTAATTTTAAATTAAATTTGACATATAACATCATACTAGTTTTAGATATATAACCCCATGATTAGACATGTATATAATTTATGAAGTGAGCACCCCAATTAATCTAGTATGCATCTAACACCATACACGGTTATTACATTACTAGAGGCTCAGTGCATGAAAATTCATGCACTGGAGGGGGGTCCCTCAGCCCAGCCTGCTCCTCTCACAGTACGGGAGCTCTCAGGGGTGGGAGGCGACCTAGCAATCAGGGGAAGGTGATGCCCCCATCACACCTCTGCTGCTGCCACTGTCGGCAGCGCAAGCCTCAGCCAGCCCTGGTTACCTGAGCCTCAGGTGGCCCTGGCCAGCTGGGCAGCCACCATCTGAGGCTTGCCCTGGGCAGCTGGGGGACTCTGGAGGCAAGGCTGCCCCGGCGGGGCTGAGAGGACTGGACGCCACCATCTTGTGGCTGTGGGCGCTGCCATCTTTGAGGGCAGGGCAGTCAATTAACATGTCCCCTCCTTATTGGCTGTGGGCGCCACCATCTTTGCAACGGTGTGAGGGTCAATTAACATATTCCCTCTTTATTAGATAGAATAGTTGACTTTATTTTCTATGCTGTAATTTACATTCTCATGACTATTCTATAATGACCAGTTTGTATTTCTTAAATCCTTCAACTTTTTCACCCATCCCCGAGCTTCCTTACCTCTGCCAACCACCAGTCTGTTCTCTGTATCTGTGAGTTTTTTGCTGTTCTATTGTTTGTTTATTTTGTTTTTAGTGTTTTGTTTTTTTAGATTTCACATGTAAGTTTAGTCACTTGGCATTTTTCTTTCTCTGTGACTTATATAACTTAGCATAAAACCCTCTAGGCCTATCCATGTTGTTGCAGATGGCAAGATTTCATTCTTTTTATGGCTGAATTGTATTCTATTGTATATATGCACCACTTTTTCTTTATCCATTCATCTACTGATGGACACTTAAGTGGTTGCTTCCATATCATGGTGATTGGAAATAACACTGCAATAAAATATGGATGGTTGTCTTTTCAATTTAATGATTAGGATTTTTGCAGATAAATACCTAGAAGTGGAGTTGCTGGGTCTTTTCTATTTGTTTCTTGTTATAGCCTTTGATTTAAAGTATATTTTGTCTGGTATAAGTATTGTTACCCTAGTTATTTGTTTTTTTGTTTCCATTTTTATTAAATATCTTTTTCTATCCCTTCATTTTCAGTGTTTATGTGTCTTTTGATCTAAAGTGAGCCTCTTATAAATAACATATGTAAGGGTCTTACTTTGTTATCCATTCAGTAATCATATGTCTTTTTTATTGGAGCATTTAATCCATTTGTGTTTAAAGTAATTGTTGATAGATTTGTAGTTATTGCCATTTTTACATATATATTCTATTGACTTCAGAGAGAGAAAGGGAGAGGGAGAGAAAGATAGAAACATCAATGATGAGAATCATCAATGGGCTGTCTCCTGCATGCCCCCTACTAGGGATCGAGCCTGCAACCAGGGCATGAGCCCTGACTGAGAATCCAACTGTGGCCTCCTGGTTAATGGATCAATGCTCAACTACTGAGCCACACCAGTCAAGCAGTAGTTATTGCCATTTTATTATTCATACTTTTTTATCTTTTTTATTTCTTCTTAAAGAAGACCCTTCAACATTTCTTATAATCCTGATTTGGTGGTAATAAACTCCTTTAGCTTTTTCTTGTCTGTGAAGTTCTTCATTATCTGTTTTTGTATTCTAAATGATAGCATTGCTGGCTAGAGTAATCTTGGTTGTAGGCCCTTGCTTTTTTTAATGACTTCATTGGGGTGACACTGGTTAACAAAATTATACAGGTTCAGGTGCATAATTCTACAACACATCATCTGTACACTTATTGTGTATTCACCACCCCAAGTTGAGTCTCTGTTCATCACCATTTATCCCCCCCTCTACCCTTCTCCACCTCTCCCTATCTTCTCCCTCCAGCAATCACCACACTATTGTCCATGTCCGTGACTTTTCCCCCTCTTTTTTTTCCTACTCTATCTCGTCACCACCCATCCCAACCTCTCCCTTCCCTGACAGCTGTCAACCTGATGTTTATCTATGAGTCTGTCTCTATATTGCTTGTTAGTTCATTTTTTTCATTAAAGTCCACATATGAGTGAAATCATATGGTACTTTTATTTCTCTGAGTGGCTTAATTTACTTAGCATAATACTCTCCAGGTCCATCTAAGCTGTCACAAAGGATAAGATTTCCTTCTTTTCTATATAGGCCTTTGTTTTTGAATTACATTGAATATTTCATTCCAAACCCTCTGGCCTGCAAAGTTTCTATTGAGAAATCAGCTGACATTCAAAAGTCAGCTCCCTTTTCTCTTGCTGCTCTTAAGATTCTCTCTTTGTGTTTAATCTTTTGAATCTTAATTATGATATGTCTTAGTGTGGGCCTCTTTGGATTTATCTTGTTTGGAACTCCTTGTGCTTCCTGGATTTGTATCTCTATTTCCTTCACCACGTTAGGGAAGTTTTCCATCATTATTTTTTCAAATAGGTTTTCACTTTCTTATTCTCTCTCTTCTCCTTCCAACACCCTTCTGATGTAAATGTTGGTACACTTGAAGTTATCCCAAAGGCTCCTTATCTATCCTCATATTTTGGATTCTTTTCCTTTGTGATGTTCTGATTGGTTGTTTTCTGCTTCTTTTTCTTCCAAATTACTGATTTGATCCTCTGATTTTTAACTCAACTGTTGATTCTCTGTAGTGTATTCTTCATTTTTTTACGATTTCTGTGTCCTTTTTATGATGTTGAAATTCTCATTTTCTTGAGCATTTTTATAACCATTGTTTTGAACTCTGCATCTGGTAGTTTGCTTACCTCTATTTCATTTAGTTCTTTTTCTAGAACTGTATACTTTTTTTCATTTGGGATCTATTTCTTTGTCTCCTCATTTTGGCTGCTTCCCTGTGTTTGTTTCTATTTATTAGGTGAAGCTGCTACATCTCCCAGTCTTGGTAGAGTAGCTTTATGTATTAGGTCTCTTTGAGGGCCCAGTGGCACAACCTCCCAAGTCACTTCAGCCAGGAGCTCTAGGTGAGCTCCCCATGTGGGCTGTATGTACCCTCCCTCTTGTTGTAGTTGAACCTTGATTGCTGCTGGCACATTATTGGGGGACTGACCCCAAGGCTGATCAGCTGTGAAAACTATCTGTAACTACAGTGGAGGAGCTGCTATGCAGGAACTGACCCAAAGGAGGAGGACTCACTTCAGTGGACCTTTGGTGTCTGCTGCGTGGGCCCCTTGAGTGTGTCATTCATGGAGGTGGTTGGGTTGGATCTGAAGATGTCTTCTAATTGTAATGGGCTTGGAGATGCCCAGGAGAGGCCAAGCTGTGAACCAAGGCTGGCTGCTGCTAGTGCCAGGCCTAGGGCCACTTAGCAAGAAGTATGGGGTATGCAGAGACCAGATGCCGCTTGTTTGAAAGATTTTAGTAAAGTTGGAAACATGAGAAAAAAGATGCCATTTGTACAGAAAAGCCGATGGGAACAGGTAGGGTGGCCCCAAAAGATGGGAGAGGCAGGGCTCTGGTAATTGCCAGAACAGGGCAAACAGAGTTAGTAAGATTGATGGAATCTCTATATGGCACCAGCTCAGGGTGGGGGGGAAAGCTCATAAAGAAAACAATGGCTTCTGATAGCACTTCCGTCTCAGAGAAAATTGCTCCTTCAGCTCTCATTCTGAAGCCAGGCAATGCATTTCCTCCCAATGTGTCTTTGGTGCCTTTCGGGCTTCTGTCTCAGTACTGGAACTCAGAGTGAATGGATACGAGAAAGTTCCTGCATGGCCTCCCCTTTTATTATTTTATTTTTTTAAATGAATTGAAAAGTTTATTAGCCATAGGAAAAAAATTGATCCTTAAAAACAATTCTCGTTAAGTTCCCTGTAAAACAGTAAGCTTACAGAAAATTTCTTTCTCATGAACAGAAAATCACTATGCTTTTGGTCCAAGATATATTGATTTTTTTTTCTCCTTCTTCAGATGATAGATGGATGTAGCCAAATCTATGAACGAGTGTACTTGCCCCAAATGTGCAACATAAATACAGAAGCGATGAACAGAAGACTCATAACCAATACTTTAACAGGGCCAACTTTGAGGCCAGGTGAGTCTTCGCGTAGAACCGCCACATCCCCCGCAGTGCCTGCTGAGGTTGTGTGGCCTGCGCTCCTTGTTCCACAGCTGGCAGTTTTCCTCTGCCGGACCGTGCTACTTGCCTCCCGGGCAGCCACCGCTTTACTGGGGGAGCGTCCTAAGGAGCCCACGTTGGTGCCACTGGGGGTCGGGCCAAGCATTCTGGAAACTGGAGGTGGCAGGGACCCGAAGCAGAAGGCAGGGAAGCGGCGGAGCCCTCACTGGACCGGCAGCTGGAGAAACTGGATGGACTGCCCTTTTAAATTTTTTATTGTTTAAAGTATTATACATAGTATTACATATGTCTCTTTTTCCCCCATTGACCTCTCCCCAGCCACCCCCACTGCCCAGCACAAACATTTATGTCCATTTGTTATGCTTACATGCACGCATACATGTCCTTTAGTTGATCTCTTATCCCCTCTCTCTGCTTTCCCTTTGAAGTTTGACGATCTGTTTGATGCTTCTCTGTCTCTGGGTCAATTTTTGTTCATCAGTTTATGCTGTTCATTATATTCCACAAATGAGTGAGGTCATGTGATATTTATCTTTCTCCAACTGGCTTATTTCACTTAGCATAAGGCTCTCCAGGTCCATCCTGTAAATGGTAAGAATTCCTTCTTTTTTACAGCAGTGTAGTATTCCATTTTGTAGATGTACCACTGTTTTTTAATCCGCTCATATGCTGATGGGCACTTAGGCTGTTTCCAAATCTTAGCTATTGCAAATTGTGCTGCTATGAATATAGGGGTGCATATATTTTTTCTGTTTGGTGTTTCTGATTTCTTGGGATATATTCCTAGAAGAGGTATTACTGGCTCAAATGGAAATTCCATTTTTAATTTTTTGAGGATACTCCATACTGTTTTCCACAGTGGCTGCACCAGTAGTCATTCCCACCAGCAGTGCACCAGGGTTCCTTTTTCTCCGCATCCTCGCCAGTGCATGTCTTTGATTGATTTGTTGATGATAGCCATTCTGACAGGTGTGAGATGATACCTCATTGTTGTTTTGATTTCCGTCTCTCAGATGATTAGTGACTCTGAGCATGTTTTCATATGTCTCTTGGCATTCTGTATGTCCTCTTTTGAAAAGTGTCTATTGAGGTACTTAGCCCTTTTTTCATTGGATTGCTTATCTTCCTTTTGTTAAGTTGTAGGAGTTCCCTTTAAAGTTTGGAGATTAAACCCTCATCCGATATAACATTGGCAAATATGTTCTCCCATACAGTGGGCTTTCTTGTTGTTTTGGTAATGGTTTCTTCTGCTGTGCAGAAGCTTTTTATTTTGATGTAGTTCCATTTGTTTATATTCTCCTTAGTTTGATTATCTTAGGAGGTGTATTGGTAAAGATATTGCTACAACAGATGTATGATATTTTGCTGCCTGTGGATTCTTCTAAGATTTTTATGGATTCCCACCTTACACTTAAGCCCTTTATCCATGTTGAATTTATTTTTGTGTATGGTGTAAGTTGGTGGTCTAGTTTCATTTTCTTTTTTGCATGTATCTGTCCAATTTCCCCAACACCATTTATTACACTTTCTTGACTCCATTGTATGCTCTTGCTTCCTTTGTGAAATATTGTTTGAGCATAATGGCTTGGGTCAATTTCTGGGTTCTCTTTTCTGTTCCATTGGTCTATATGTCTGTTCTTGTGCCAGTACCAGGCAGTTTTGAGAACAGCGGCTTTGTAATATAGCTTGTTGTCTGGTATTGTGATCCCTCCAACTTTGTTCTTTTTCTTCAAGATTGCTGTGGCCATTCCATATGAATTTTTTGAGAGTTTGTTCTAGGTCTTTGAAATATGCTGTTGGCATTTTTTTAAATTAAATCTTTGTTGTTCATATTGTTACAGTTGTTCCTCTTTTCCCCCCATAGCTCCCCTCCAGCCGGTTCCCACCCAACCCTCAGCCCTTACTCCCCCGCCCCCACTGTCCTCATCCATAGGTGTACAATTTTTGTCCAGTCTCTTCCCGCACCCCCATACCCCTTTCTCCCCTGAGAATAGTCAGAACACTCCCTTTCTATGCCCCTGATTCTATTATATTCACCAGTTTATTCTCTTCATCAGATTATTTATTCACTTGATTTTTAGATTCACTTGTTGATAGATGTGTATTTGTTGTTCACAATTTGTATCTTTACCTTTTTCTTCTTCCTCCTCTTCTTAAAGGATACCTTTCAGCATTTCATATAATACTGGTTTGGTGGTGATGAACTGCTTTAGCTTTTTCTTATCTGTGAAGCTCTTTATCTGACCTTCAATTCTGAATGATAGCTTTGCTGGGTAAAGTAATCTAGGTTGTAGGTTCTTGCTATTCATCACGTTGAATATTTCTTGCCACTTCCTTCTGGCCTTAATAGTTTCTGTTGAGAAATCAGCTGACAGTCGTATGGGTACTCCCTTGTAGCTAACTGACTCTTTCTCTTGCTGCTTTTAAGATTCTCTCTTTGTCTTTTGCTCTTGGCATTTTAATGATGATGTGTCTTGGTGTGGTCCTCTTTGGATTCCTTTTGTTTGGGGTTCTCTGCGCTTCCTGGACTTGTAAGTCTATTTCTTTCACCAGGTAGGAGAAGTTTTCTGTCATTATTTCTTCAAATAAGTTTTCAATATCTTGCTTTCTCTCTTCTTCTGGCGCCCCCATAATTCGGATGTTGGTACGCTTGAAGCTGTCCCAGAGGCTCCTTACACTATCTTCATATTTTTGGATTCTTTTTTCTTTTTGTTTTTCCGGTTGGGTGTTTTTTGCTTCTTTGTATTTCAAATCTTTGACTTGATACTTGAGATCCTCTAGTCTGCTGTTGGAACTCTGTATAACATTCTTTATGTCAGTCAGTGTATGCTTAATTTCTAGTTGGTCCTTTTTCATATCCTCGAGGGTCTTACTAGATTTCTTGAGGGTCTCACTAAGTTTATTGGCGGTTTCTAGAAAATTCTTGAAAAACCTTAGAAGTGTGGTTTTGAACTCTATATCCAGTAGTTTGCTTTCCTCCATTTCTGTCATTTGTGACCTGTTTCTTTGTCTCCACATTTTTTATGCTTCCCTGTGTTGATAGAGTGGCTTTCTGTGCTAGGTATCCTATAGGGCCCAGTGGCTCAGCCTCCACAATTACTTGAGGTGGACACTCTTGGTTTACCCCTTTGTGGGCTTTGTGCACAGTCTTGTTGTAGTTAAGCCTTGATTGTTGTAGGTATCACTGGGAGGAATTGACCTCTAGGCCAATTGGCTGTGAGAATCAGCTGTGTCTACAGTGGGAGAACTTCTGTGCTGGAGACACCCTTCTGGGGCAAGACTTGCTTCAGTGGGGCTTTGGTGCTCACTGAGTCTGCCCCCTGAGTGTGTGCCTTATGAATCTGAGGAGTTGAAATCTGGATGGTCCCACTCTGACCACTGGGTACACTGGCTCTTGGATCTCTAAGGAGGTGCAAATTTAGCCTCTGCCTGAGGCTACCCAGCAGGAGCTATGGAGAGATCTGCGGATTCCTCTTCTTTGTTTGGGATTTGTAGGTGCCCAGATGAGGCCCAGCTGTGAAGCAATGCAAGCTGCTGTGGGGCCTTGGGCCTTCTTTTGGATGTTCTGGGTCTCTCTGACCCAGCTGCAGTTTGTTAGGTAATTTTCAGATTGCAAATGGCCAGGCCTTTCATATGCAAAAGCCTCTGCTCACAGCTTGGGTGTGGCAGGGTCTCAGGAAATCAACAGGGTGGAGCAAAGAGCTATGGCTGATCCTCAGTCCTGCCCTAAGAGACCAGGGGTTTCAGTGTTCTTCGGTGTTTGCTGCCAGCACCCTTGAGAGAAAGCCGCCCTCGAGTTCCGACTGATGCTACTCGCTCTAAAAATCAATGGAAAAATATCCTCGGGTGAGAGTTAACAAAAAAATTAGATTAGAAGTCTTACAAAAGTTGGGGCCAGGCATGTCTGTGTCTTGTATATGTGAGAAATAGTGCATAAAAAAGCAAACTGTATCAGAAATTTAAATAAAACAAAGACAAAATTAAAAAATGATTTTGAAATAATATGTGATGTAATTGAAACACCAATCCCAGAAAGCATGAAATCAGCACTTGGAACTGCAGTTGAAGAAGCACTGCTGAAGTGCTATGCACAACAACGTTCTTCTGGGGTTTCAGTTTGGGCAGTTGAATTGAAATCTGCAGCAATTAAATCATATGAACACACCATTCAAAGCAAGTGATTGGTGACTGCAGCTTTCAAAAAAGGCACAGCATTATGAACAAATTTATTTGGGGCAAAGCTTTGAGTGCTCAACAGAAGATATTGAACCATTTAGCCAAAAATTAATAGAATGTATAAATTAAAAAACGCTATAATATTCTCAGGTTTACAATGCTGACTCAACTGGTTTATTCTTATGTTCTGTACCTGAAAACACACAGCCTCCAAATATGAAAAAAATGACTCCTGGAAGAAAAGTCAGCAAGGACAGGATCTCAGGACTGCTTAGTGCCAATGCCAGTAGATAGCATAAACTGACACTTGTAATTGTTGGCAAATTTTATAAACCTAGTTTTTTAAAAAATATAATGAATCATCGGTCCATTTTGTATTATGACTCTAAAAAGACATGGTGCAACTCACCCATTTTGCAAGACTGGTTTTTAAAGAATTTGTACCTGAAGTCAGGAAATTTCAAGGCCAAGACCTTGGAATACTACCAAAAGATGTGAAATGTTTGTTGCTTTAAATAATGTTCCTGCTCATCTATTAAAAAGTATTTTATGTTCAAAAGATGGAAAATTTATATGTATGTATTTTTCCAAAAGATACAACATCAGTTATCCAGCCCATGCAATAGGGGTAGTTCTGGCAACCAAATGAATATACCACAAAAAGTTTTTAGAGGAAGTAATGGTGTATTGCAGGATGAAGATAATGAATAAGAAACAAGAAGAGAGTGTACCTTATAAAAGTTAAAGAGTTACAGTTTAATGTTGGCAATTTTTAATTTTGCTGCAGCATGGAAAAGTGCAGTCTTGGCCAACATTACTCAGTGGTTAGAGCATTGCCCCAAAGGGTCAAGGGTTCTATTCAAGGTCAGGGCACCTACCTGGATTTCAAGTTCTATCCCCACCCTGGTCTGGGTAAATACAGAAGACAACCAATGGATGTGACTCTCTCACATTGATGTTTCTCTCTCTC